ATTTTAATGTATTGGAAAAAAGAAGATTGAGTTCTGTAGTATTAAAAGATTGTTAAAAAATATAAAGATTTATTAGGACAAATTTTGTAATCGAATGTTATATACACATTTGTAATGTAGTCCCTAAATCCTCCGCCGCATATAAAAATACCATATGTAAAAAAAGCTTCGTCGGCGCGGTGGAGGGCGGTGGAGGAGCTTTTGGCGGTAAAATACGAAATTATAATTCAACTCGACGTTATCTGGGACGCGTATAAAATTCTGAAGCTTACAACGTGTTCGATATAAAATAATACGTGATTTATTTTACGAAACCAAACCGTAGGAAATAGACAGAGGCAACGACGACGTTGAGGGAATAAGGAAAAAGATGGAGCAATATTGTAGGGAATGTTTCCCTTTTGTTCATGGTATGAGTTATGGGCGCTGCGGGGATTCTCTTTTTTGATTCTGTACGTTTGTTTTTGTAGTCAAAAAGTTTTGGAGAAGACAAATGCATTATTATTGAACTTTTTTTGGGCGCGATTAGGGCGTAAATCCGTACAAATGCAACGGAAGTGCATTACGGCAAATAAGATAAGAATCGAGTGCCAATGATTCGTCACTCGCTCTCGATAATATCATTTCTATACGGGTTGATTGTGATTAGTCGTCGTGTATGTGAATAGAGATCGGTCGTTGTATGCGTACCGATATCAATAAAGAAATCGGCATAGATAAATAAACTGTTTAAAGTTACATCGTAGTACAAATCTTGATTTAATAAAAAAATGCCCGAATCTGAAGAATATTTTACCCTGTTCCTTGAAAATAAAAAAACAAATTAAACATTTGTGCCGCGAACTAAACGTAAGTTTATTGATTAAAAATTATTTCCATTTTATTCGTAGCTTCTATAAATCTTTTAAGTCCCTTTTAATCTTCTAGGTTGTTTTTTAATTTGCTCGTCAGTAGAGTTCTTTTTCAAAATGCCATTCAAATTGCCTATCGGTGGAGTCCTTTTTTATCTACAAGTTGTTTCTCAATTTGCACGTCAGTACAGTTCCTTTTCATGATTTTGAGAACCAATTCGTTCGTCAGTACAGACCCTTTTAATCTTCGAAATTGTTTTTTAATTTGCCCGTCAGTAGAGTTCTTTTTTATGAGTTTGAAAATTAACTAGATCGTCAGTAGAGTCCCTTTTTATCACCTAAGTTGTTTTTAAATTTACTCGTCAGTAAAGTCCTTTTTCATGTCTTTTAAAAAGCAATTTGCTCGCCAGTAGAGTTCCTTTCAATATTCTAAATTGTTCTTTAATTTGCTCGTCAGTAGAGTCCATTTTCGTATCTTTTAAAATACAACTTGCTTGTCAGTAGAGTCCTTATATTTTTCTCGTATTTTTATTTCAGTTTGCTCGTCAGTAGAATCTCTTTATCTTCTATGTTTTCTAATTTGCTCGTCAGTAAAGTCCTTTTTCGTGTCTTTTAAAGCACAATTTGATCGTCAGTAGAGTCCTTTTTTATTTTCATAATTGCTATTTGATTTAATCGTCAGTAGAGTCTGTTTTTATATTGTATTCTTTCCGTCTCATGTTTTGCATTTCATTTTGCTCGTCAGTAAAGTCCTTTCGTCTCATACTTCTAATTTAAGTTTGCTCGTCAGTAGAGTCCTTTTTTCTCGTCTTATGTTTTCCATTTCATTATGCTCGTCACTAGAGTCCTTTTCTCATAGTTTAAGTAGTTTTTTTATTTGCTCGTCAGTAGAGTCCTTTTTATTTTCATATATTGCAAAATACGTTTTCTCGCTTTTTCTTATCATAGCAAAAGCTAGGATATTATTAAAAAGACTCTACTGACGAGTAAAAGCTAAAATATACAAAAAATGGACTCTACTGACGAGCAAACTAATCTAGAAATTAAAAAGGGACTCTACTGACAAGCAAACTAATCTAGAAATAAAAAAAGGACTCTACTGAAGAGAAAACTAATCTAGAATTAAAAAAGCGACTCTACTGACGAGCAAACTGATCTAGAATTAAAAAAGCGACTCTACTGACGAGCAAACTGATCTAGAATTAAAAAAGGGACTGTACTGACGAGCTACAGCTAAAATATGCAAAAAAGGAACTCTACTGACGAGCAAACTAATCTAGAATTAATAAAAGGAACTCTACTGACGAGCAAACTAATCTAGAATTAATAAAAGGACTCTACTGACGAGCAAACTAATCTAGAATTAATAAAAGGACTCTACTGACGAGCAAAAGATAAAACATATAAAACATGTTATGGTATGGCCGTGTACTGAACGTAAGCTTATTGATTAGAAATTATATCTATATTATTCGTAGTTTCTAGAAATCTTTGAAGTTATTAAAATGGAAAATATTTTTTAGGCAAGACATATATTACAGCTGTTCAAAGAATGAGATTATATCGCCAGCAAAAAAGTAAAAAAAATTCAAGCGGTCAATGAATGTATGTTAATTTTAATTACATGAAGTTCTTCAAACACAATAATTACATAATGAATAAATAATATTAATTTAGACATTGTTTAATATAATCCACTGTGTGAACAAATATAGAATTTATTAATCAGAAATTACTTCATTTCTCTAATGAAGATTCAAGTCGTAAATGCTAATTACAATGACAAACCGATCATGTCGTATTTGAAGTATGACTTCAATTACACTATTGTTTTTAAATATTATACATATTTTTAATGCTATTATAATCTATAATTTATCATTATATAAATGTGTATAGAGGTTGACACTAATAAATGTGTGCATCACGAGTGTTACCATATTACTAATAAATATTATTCAAATTTGTTACATGATGTATTTATTTTCACTTTAAATGTCATCTTGTACAGCAGCAAATAAGTTTTATTTCAATCGCGTGTTTACCTTTTTTTCTAATAGATTTGCAAGTGGAATATTATTTCACTAAATAACTATCTACCCTCTCTCCACCGTGTCACAGAAACTCTCCACCGTCGATAAATTTCTCTCAAAATATTTTCCTCGCTAATGCATCGAATTTATGCATCGTCGGTTACATAATCTAAAGCTCGTAAATTCCTATTAACTTTCGTCCGTTCTAATATAATATTAATCGCCGCATGTTTATCATATTGCAATTTTGTATGAAAATAACTTGATCACGTCCGCCAGTCGAATCCCATCACAGATTTTCAAATCCAATCATGTTACAACATAACCTGATGGAGAGTTGATTTTATTACGTGAAAGCAGAGGAGGGTAAAGGAATATTTTATGGGGCTACTTTTGAATATAAATAATTATAATAAATTGAAGAGACATAAATTCAGTCAGCAAATTGTTTAAATTTTTAGAACAAGCTGCATCAATAGAGGTGTTGATTATAAGTTTTATTGCATTTGTTAATAATAAATATATAGAACTTTTGATTGAATTGCGGACTATCTAAATGTTAATATTAAGAGCTAAAACTTATAGAGAATTTTCTTTTATTACTTTGGAAGCATTTAAGCCCTTGGGAGCAAAGAAATTCGAAAATGTCCATATTAAGGACAACCCTTTGATACCCCTCACTATTTCAAATCTCTTGTTTAGTTTGCTCGTAAGTAGAGTCCCATTTTTCGTAGAAATTTATGAAGAGCGCTTGAAAAATTAGTTTGATGGTTAGTAGAATCCTTTTTCTCCTTCAAGGAATCCTTGGGAAAGCAGTTTACTTGTCAGTAGAGTCCCTTTTTCCTGTTGCATTTTTTTTTTAAAAGTATACTTTCTGAAAGCAGTTTGCTCGTCAGTAGAGTAAGTTTTCTCATTGCATTTGTTTAAAGAATCGTTCAGAAATGATTTTGCTCGTCAGTAGAGTCCCTTTTCTTGTCGCATTTTTTTTAAAGAATCACTTAGAAATTATTTTGCTCGTCAGTAGAGTCCCTTTGGGTGCCTTTGAGTCAATTTTATCGTTTCAAGTGATTTTCGTAGGAATAATAAAAAAACAGTTTGCAGAAATGAGTTTGCTCATCAGTAGAGTCCTTTTTCTTATTTGAATTCGTAGGGAATCCTTCGAAAATCGATTTGCTCCTCAGTAGAGTCCCTTTTCTCGATGCATTTGCTTAAGGAATTGTTCAGAATTTGTTTTGCTTGTCAGTAGAGTCCTTTTTATCATTTCCAGCTTAAAAAACAGTTTGCTTGTCCGTAGAGTCCTTTTTATCATTTCGAGCATAAAAAACAGTTTGCTTGTCAGTAGAGTCCTTTTTATCATTTCAAACTTTAAAAAAACAGTTTGCTCGTCAGTAGAGTCCCTTTACTCGTTTCAAATGATTTTTGTAGAGATTTATTAAGAGGGCTTCTAAAACATCAGTTTGCTTGTCAGTAGAGTCCCTTTTCTTGTTGCATTTCTCAAGAAATCGTTCAGAAATTATTTTGCTAGTCAGTAGAGTCCTTCGAAAACGAGTTTGCTAGTCAGTAGAGTCCCTTTTCTTGTTGCATTTTTAAAGAAATAGTTCAGAAATAATTTTGCTCGTCAGTAGAGTCCCTTTTCTCGACAATTTTACATCTGCTTAGATAAATTTTACTCAACCATATCATATACAATATCAATACCATATTCTATTCCTCCATTAGGATATTTCCTGATTTACGTCCCACGGTGGAGCTTCATTTAGTAGTCGCTTATTCAAATACAATAGGATTGGCTAAACTAAATTACATATAATATATATATATATATATATATATATATATATATATATAAAGGGTGCTCCATCTATTCTCTGCTATTGACAGATGGATGTAAATGTGAGAATAATAGTTCTGTCACAGCCTCGGGTTTGCAAATAATCCTTTGTCTAAATCCGATCCTTTGTCCTTTGACGCCTTCGCTCAGTCAGTCAGTCAGGATTTCATAGTAAAATAATTTTTAATTGTTAATGGAAATTTTATTAACGTGATTTTTATGTCCTTTGATTTTTGTGCTCATTTAAATTATAATTTTCGTCTATAACTATTTTTTTTCTTTTAGGAAAAATCGTGCAAGTCGAAGCGGTGGAGGGTCACTCTGTGTCATTGCCTTGTAGCGTGACGCCTCCTAATCATGACAAAGTATACATGGTCTTTTGGTTCCAAGATGATGCTGGAATTCCATTATACAGGTAACTATATATAATTAACTAGTGGTGTATGGCATCGTGCCTTAAGGCAAATTGCTGGAACTTCCCGTACGGTAATGAAAAATCCGAGAAATTTTAAACGTTTTCAAATACATTATTATAATTACTGTAATTGTTTCATTATTTTTGCTATCTTATTGTTATATCTGAGCAAATCAAATGTAAATCATAAATAAATCAATTTATTTTCGGAACATTAACAATCGTCATTTCATTTCGAATTCAATCTCAAAAAAAATAGTTGCCTAATTTACACAAAAGTGAAAAAGTGCTCCCGTACAGACACAGTCTATTTGCATTTGCAAATAATTCTGTGTGACATTTTCACTTATACTCTTCTTAGCTTGGCGGTATTTTCACATTTTTATTTCAATTTCAGTTTTCCCACAAAATTGGAAAAGTGCTCCAGTGAAAAAACAGTCTAAACGCGCTTGGGTAAACATTTGTACCAGAGTGGCGCTTAGACTGTGCTTAGCCTGGGTAATTTTTTGAATTTTTAATCCAAAATTACAAAAATATTTTATGGAAAATAATAAAAAAAGATGTAATAATTTTTTATCCTCAAAAGTAGTTGTTTTGTCAAAGTAATTTTGATAATATTGAAAATTATAATTTTTTATTTATTTTTTAGATCATTTTTTAATTTGTTCGTCAGTAGAGTCTTATTTTTTTATATTGCTAATAAATTTGCTAATCAATATAATCCTTTTTTATTTTGCTGATTTTTTTAATAATTTGCTCGTCAGTAGATTCCCTTTTTATTTTCTTTTAGATTATTTAATAATTTTTTATATTCTAGGTTAAAAAATAATTTGCTCGTCAGTAGAGTCCCGTTTTATTATCTTCTAGATTATTTAATAATTTACTCGTCAGTAGGGTCCCTTTTTTCAATTTTTGGGTTGAATAATAATTTGCTCGTCAGTAGAGTCCCTTTTTTCAATTTCTAGATTATTTAAGAATTAGCTCGTCAGTAAAATCTCTTTTATATTCAAGATTATGTAATAATTCGCTCGTCAGTAGAGTCCCTTTTTTATTTTCTTCTAGATTATTTAATAATTTGCTCGTCAGTAGAGTCTCTTTTTTATATTCAAGATTATTTAAGAATTAGCTCGTCAGTAAAGTCTCTTTCTTATATTCAAAATTATTTAATAATTTGCTCGTCAGTAAAGTCCCTTTTTTATATTCTAGATTATTTATTGATTTGCTCGTCAGTAGAGTCCCTTTTTCAATTTCTGGGTTAAATAATAATTTGCTCGTCAGTAGAGTCCCTTTTTTATATTGAATTCTTAAATGAAATGAATTTTTAAATTGAATTCGAAATGAAATGACGATTGTTAATGTTCTGGAGATAAATTCATTGATTTATGATTTACATTTGATTTGCTCAGATATAACAATAAGATAATAAAAATAATGAATGTCACATTATTTGTAATAATATATTTGAAAACGAATAAAATTTCTCGAATATTTCATTACGATACGGGAAGTTACAGCAATTTGCCTTAAGGCACGATGCCATACACCACTAGTTTTCCTATTATTCCGCAAAATAAAATTCCCAACAATCGACCCAGTATTATTATTTCTCCACCGTAAGCACGTGCCCTAATGGAAATATCAAACCACACTCTTATCTGTCTATAATATGGTTTTTGGGGGTAGTTTGAGTGAAAATACAATTTTTTACTACAACCCCCCCTAAAACAGGCGGTGTCTAAAGATAATATTATGATTTTAATAATTCATAGAACGATTTAGGTAAACGACATACAAATTGGACGATTACGAAAAAAAAATGTGTCGGTTCACTTAGTAAGGTGAGATAGTGAAGTTGTGATATTTTTTATGGATTGAAAATGATTTGAGAAGTGGGTTTTTGGGTAATCGATATTTAGTTTTGTAGAGAAATATTACCTATTGTTCTCTTGTAAGTTGTAAGTTATTTAACGTAATCGAAATGTTCTTGATTTTAATAATGAAATAAAATATCGTTAAGAAAATAAAAATACTTTATCATGAGAAATGTTTAGACTCAAAAGAATTTATTACAAAAATGCAGATACAATGATTAGATAATAATCAAAGGCACAATTAAAATTTAGATTGTGTATGAATTTTTTCAGTTATGTTTGCAAATTAGATTTAAATGTAAATTCGAATTAAAAAGAAATTTCTTGAGTAAATTAAAACTAGCTGTAAGTGGAATTCTGTCTTGAGGCTATTATGGCATCGTGCCTTAAGGCAAATTACTGAAACTTCCCGTACTGTAACGAAATGTTCGTGGAATACTGAATGTTTTCAAATAGATTATTATAAATATTGTAACATTGTGTAATATTTATAAGAATTATATAAATTGAATTGCAGAGTTGAAATTATTTGTAAAGTATATTAGAACTATAGTCAGAATTAAAAATAAAATCTGAAATATTTTCGATATACAAAAAACTAAAAAAAAAAAAAAAAAAAAAAAAATGCAACAAATTTTTTTTTCCAAAATCTATTATTTTGTTAAAACAAGCAGAAAGTTCTTTGAATCATTTAAATCGGACGCTTAGTTCTCTCAAAAACTGCCATTTTTCACATATTTAGCTCCGTATCTTCAAAATGGCTGGATCTGCCTTTGCCAAAAACTAATAAACACTTCTCCCAATCATTACTAATTGAATGTTTTTTAGATCATTCAAATTGGATACTCCGTTCTCTCAAAAATTCGATTTCTATTTTCTGCACTCTTTGCTCTGTATCTCCGAAACGGCTGGACCTGCCTTTGCCAAACACTAATCAGCTCTTTTCCCTATCAATAGGAATCGAATGTTTTTTGAACCATTCAAATCGGTTGATCCGTACGCCCGAAAACGTGGGCGAAAATTTGTATCCATACATACATACACACTCACACACACACACACACACACACACACACACATCCATTTTTTCTGAGGTATGCCAAAACGTTCAGAAACCTTCAAAACGTCGAGAAATGTAAAAATTTTCAATTCCGATTTTCGGCCCATTACAATAACTTACCCTACGGGAAGTTAAAAATATATTCGAATCGATCAAGATAAAAATTCTAAAATCAATTGAAAAACTGTTGTGCTTGAACAAAAAGTTTAGATTCAACTAATAATATAATTATAAAAACAGTTAAAAATCTTTAAGCTTAAGTATGAGAAATTAAGGCTAAGATTTTAAATAAATAAATCTAGGCACAGGCGATACAAATCTAAATTCGATTAATAAAAGTGTAGGCTCAAAGAATAAGAATCTTGTCTCAAATAATAAAAATCTAGGCTTGAACTATACAAATTTAGGCCTAAACTATAAAAATCTAAGTTCGAACAAAATAAATCTAGATTGAAATCTACGTTGAAGCAACAAAAATCTAGGAAATGGCCGTAAAAATTAGGCTAAAGGCAATAAAATCTACACTAAATTTATAACAATTATCTAACGTGATATTGAAGCTTAAATATCAATTTAGACTTTAACAACAATCTTAGTTTTAACATAAAAAATCTAGGCTTAAACATTTGAAATCTAGGCTCAAAGCAACCAAAATCAAGGTTCAGGCAATAAAAATTTAGGCTCAGACAAAAAAAATCTAAGTTCAATCAAAAGAAATCGGCAGCAAAAATCTAGGCTGAAGCAATAAAAATCTTGACTGAAACATAAAAATCTAGGTTCAAAGTGATAAAAATCTGGGCTCAGGATAACAATTTAGGCTTGATCAAAAATCTACCCTTCACTCAATTCATTTTTTATTAAAGAATCGTTCAGAAATTATTTTGCTCGTCAGTAGAGTCCCTTTTCTCGTTGCATTTTTTAAGAAAGCGTTCAGAATTATTTTGCTCGTCAGTGAAGTTCCTTTTCTCGTTGCATTTTTTAAGAAATCTTTTAGAAATTATTTTGCTTGTCAGTAGAGTCCCCTTTCTTGTTACATTTTTTAAGGAATCGTTCAGAAATTGTTTTGCTCGTCAGTAGAGTCTCCTTTCTCGTTGCATTTTTTAAGAAATCGTTTAGAAATTATTTTTCTCGTCAGTAGAGTCCCCTTTCTTGTTACATTTTTTAAGGAATCGTTCAGAAAATATTTTACTCGTCAGTAGAGTCTTTTTATCGTTTGAAGTGCTTTTCGTAAAAAGAGTACCTAAAAAACAGTTTGCTAGTCAGTAGAGTCCTTTTCTCGTTTGAATTTGTAGGGAAACCTTCGAAAATCAATTTGCTCGTCAGTAGAGTCCTTTTTCTTGTTTGAATTTTTAGGGAATCGTTCGAAAATCAATTTGCTCTTCAGTATAGTGATAAAAATTTAGGCTCAGAATAACAATTTAGGCTTGGTCAAAAATCTAGGCTCAGGCGATCAAAAACTTAGGCTCAGGCGATCAAAAACTTAGGCTCAGGCGATCAAAAATTTAAGCTTAAAGAAACATCAAGGCTGAGGCAATCAAAAATTTAAGCTTAAAGAAACATCTAGACTCAAGACGACAAAAGTCTAGGCTCAAGGCGACAAAAATCCTAGGCTCAGGCAATCAAAAATCCTAAGCTCATTTGATAAAAATCAAGACTTGAACAATAAAAATGTAGGTTTAAACAAAAATCTAGGCTCAACTAGAAAAAATCTAGACTCAGACGATATAAATCTAGGCTCAGGCGATAAAAACTAAGGCTCAAACGATAAAAATCAAGTAAACCAAGCAAAAAAGCAAGGCCCAACCTCATACAATTTAGGCCCAAACAAAAATTTAGGTTCAAACAATCAAAATCAAGGTCCAAACGATAACAATGTAGGTTTTAAAAAAATCTAGGCTCACGCGGTAAAAATCTAGGCCTTAAATGAAACAAGTCCAGGTCCAAATAAAACAAATCCAAATTCACATAAAATAATAACTTAAAGTTCAAAAAAATTCAGACTCAAATAAAATAAATTGAGGCTCAAGTAGAACAAAATCAGGCTTAATTACATTTCAAGGCTTATAAAAAATTAGGCTCACATAATCAAATTTGAGTATGACTGACTAATAACAATGGTCTCACGCAACATATGCGTGCGCAAAAACAAAATATTCATAAAAACAACAATGTTCCATCATTAATGTTCATGTGATTTTTCAATGTTCCATGTGATTTTTCTCTTTCAGCTTCGACGTCCGTGGCAAACCCCTGTCGGCTGCACGTCACTGGTCAGCCCCCGAAGTGTTCGGTTCAAGGGCCCATTTTAGGGCCGACGGTGAACCGGCCAGGTTGGAACTTCAGGACGCCCGAAGGCACGACGCAGGCGTCTATAGGTGTCGTGTCGACTATAGACACACACAAACTAGAAGCCTTAGATACAACTTAACTGTCATAGGTAATAAAAAAAATTAGACTATAATTGTTTTATTAAAGGTTGTCAATCCCTGCTCCACCTGTGCCTTATCTTTGAAGTTATTAAAAGGGGAAAATATTTTTCAGGCAAGACAGATATTACAGCTGTTCAAAGAATGAGATTATATCGCCAGCGAAAAAGTAAAAAAAATACAAGCTGTCAATGAATGTATGTTAATTTTAATTACATGAAGTTCTTCAAACAGAATTATTACATGATGAGTGAAGTTGCGAATACAATATTTAACATAATCCACTGTGTGAACGAATATTATAGAATTTAATAATCAGCAATTACTTTATTTCTCTAATGAAGGTTCATTTCTAAATGCTAATTACAATGACAAACCGATCATGTCATATTTGAAGAGTAACTTATCTGTTATCTTTGCACTATAGAAGGGTAGTTGTATGTATTATAGTGCGGCGGTATTTATAGTGCAGACATTTTTCATTCCCGATCAGAATTTATTGCGAAATACTTCTCAATTTTATTCGAAACAAACGCAGGCCGGTGGAGGAAAGGATTCACGATATTGTACGTTGACCTTTTTCCGAAAGTCTCCACCGGGATAATATATACTCGTATTGTACATTGTAGGGAGAAATCAAAACAAAACTAGCTGTAAGTATAATTCTGTCTTGAGGCAATTATGGCATCGTGCCTTAAGGCAAATTGCTAGAACTTCCCGTACCGTAACGAAATGTTCGAGGAATACTGAATGTTTTCAAATAGATTATTATAAATATTGTAACATTGTCTAATATTTATAAATATTATATAAACTGAATTGCAAAGTTGAAATTATTTGTAAAGTATATTAGAACTATAGTCAGAATTAAAAATAAAATCTAACTTATTTTCGATATACAAAAAATTAAAAAAGAAAAAAAAAAAGTTGGAACAAAATTTTTTTTTCCAAAATCAATTATTTTGTTAGGACAAGCAGAAAGTTCTTTGAATCATTTAAATCGGACGCTTAGTTCTCTCAAAAACTGCCATTTTTTACATATTTAGCTCCGTATCTTCGAAATGGCTCTTTTCCCTATCAATAGGAATCGAATGTTTTTTGAACCATTCAAATCGGTTGATCCGTGCACCCGAAAACGTGACTGGAAATTTGTATCCATACATACACACACATACACACACATCCATTTTTTCTGAGGTATGCCAAAATGTTCAGAATCCTTCAAAACGTCGAGAAATGTAAAAATTTTCAATTCTGATTTTCGGGAAGTTAAAAAGGTTCACACGCGATTGAAGTAAAACTTATTTGCTACTGTACAAATTAGCAAATTAAAGTTAAGTAAAAATAAATACAGCATATAACAATTTTGAATAATGTTTATTAGCAATACAGCAACACTCGTAATGTACACATTTATTAGTGCCAACCGTTATATAAATTTATATAATGATAAATTATAAATTATATATTTATAATAGCATTAAAAATATGTATAATGTTTGAAAACAATAATGTAATTCAAGTCATACTTCAAATATGACATGATCGGTTTGTCATTGTAATTAGCATTTATGACTTAAACCTTCATTAGAGAAATGAAGTAATTGCTGATTAATAAATTCTATAATATTCGTTCGAACAGTGGATTATGTTAAACAACGCCTAAACTAATATTGTTTTCTGATTATGTAATAATTGTGTTTAAAGAACTTCATGTATTTAAAATTAACATACATTCATTGACTGCTCGTATTTTTTTTTGCTTTTTCGCTGGCGTTACAGTCTCATTCGTTGTTCAAAACTCGTTTTATCGCTGACACCAAAAAGTTCACTGTAATTTAAATTCAACCTCTTCTTGTCCTTTAACTCACAAACTTCGAATCTAAATCTGTGCAATTTTTTGGGGGGGGGGGAAAGTCTGTGGCAACATAAAAGTCTTAAATACACCTAAGTCTGTTTTTACACGGTCTTTTTGTACACGGTCTGTTTGTACACGGTTTGAAAATTGAATATTTTTAATATTTTACACGATTTTATTCCATGTAGCACGATTTGAAATTTTATGTACTTAAATTTTTTTGTCGAATTTAATTTTTGCGAAGTATGTTCATATCACAAAAAAGTATTTATGAAAGAAAAAAGTCTGAAACCATCGATAGTATCGATAGTTTGCGAACACTAGCTTAAAGATTTAAGTGAATTCCCCTTTAGCGCGTACAAACAATTTTTACTGGTCAAAGCAAATGTGAATAGCACTAATTTAGGAGAATTATTATTAAAATAAACATGAATTCTTGTTATTAAAAATTCTTGTTTTTCACTAATTTTAATAGGTTTTAGAGATTAGGAACACTAATCACCCATTTTTGTATAAGATCAATGTCTTTTTTTACACGTTTTTTTTTTACACGGCTTCTTCTGGAACCAATCTACCGTGTAAAAACAGACTTAGGTGTACTTTCAATAAATATTTTGACTACTAATCAAAATTTGATCTCAAAATACCATTCTTTTATTAACAAACATTTAATCCAAGTAATAAAAATCTATTTACACGTTATATTTTTTTCTCAAATCTATTTCTTTAAAATTCCCTATCTCCACCGTTCCTCCACCGTTTGCATACGAAATGTGTTGCCGGTTGCACACATCACGTTTCGCCATTCAATCACAATCAAAACTTTACGACGATTCGTTTGCGGAAAAATTCTTAACAAAACCGAAGAAAGAATTGAGAAATAAAGTAATAAAATATACAAAAAAAGAAAAAAATATATACATGGATGACGTGAGTGGAAAGATGGAGGGTAGATAGAAATCTAGGTGAATTTTCGATACCTATGTGCCTTATTTTATTTTCTAGTCTGATATTCAATTTGCTCATTAGTAGAGTCCTTTTCTGTATTAAAATTTTAAATTTGCTTGTCATCAGAGTCCTTTTTGTATGAGAATTTTAAATTAGCTTGTCAGTAGAGTCCCTTTTTGTATTACAATTTTAAATTAGCTTGTCAGTAGAGTCACTTTTTGTTTTGACATTTTAATTCGCTCGTCATTAGAGTCCCTTTTGTATAATTGGTTGTCAGTATAGTCCCTTTTTTATGGACATTTAAAATTTGATCGTCAGTAGAGTTCTATTTTGTATTAGAACTTTAATTTTGTCGTCAGTAGAGTCTCTTTTTCTATTAACATTTTAAAGTTGCTCGTCAGTAGAGTCCCTTTTTTATTTTCTAGATCTAAATTCAAATTTGCTCGTTAAGAATCCCTTTTTATTTTCTAGATATAAATTTAAATTTGCTCGTCAGTAAAGTCCCATTTTGTACTGAAATTTTAATTTGATCGTCAGTAGAGTCCCTTTTATCTTAAAATTTTAATTTTATCGTCTTGTACTGTAATGATACAACTTTTTCAATTTTGTGTAAATTAGGAAACTTTTTTTTTGAAATTGAATTCAAAACTTAGAGGTACGACTTAAGCAACTTTTCCTTATATTGTGCATTTAGTACTCTTATTTAAGAGAATCAAATTAATAAGGAAAAGGATTTTACTGAAGTAAAACTTCTTAAGGCGCGACTAGAAGGCGTGAATAGAGATCTGTCGAATTAATATAACTCAATAAAATATTTAGGATTCTCATGTTGCCACAGACTACCCCCCCAAAAATTTTAATTATTGCACAGACTAAGATTAAATGTTTATTGTCAATAATAGAATGAAATTTTAGGAGAAAATTGCGATTATTAATTAAAATATCTTATTAAAATTTAAAATTTAATACTTCCATGTTGCCACAGACTTTCCCCCCAAAAATTTTTAATTATTGCACAGACTTAAATTGAATCTTTGTTCCTAAAATTATATTCTAGAATTTTAAAATAATTTTCTAAAATAGTATTTTAAGACCAAATTGCGATTATTAGTCATAATACCTATAGAAAGTATTTAGGTCTTGGCATGTTGCAACAGACTTTCCCCCTAAAAAAATTAAATATTGCATAAATTCAAAATAAACGTTTGTTGCTAATAATAGGCATAATAATAGTCAATAATAATATGGAATTGTAGAAACAATATGTGATTACTAGTCAAAACACTTATAGAAAGTATTTAATTATTGCCATGTTGCCACAGACTTCCCCCTAAAAAATTTTTGATTAGTGCACAGACTTAGATCAAATGTTTGCTGTCAATAATCGAATAGAATTTTAGGAACAATTTGTAATTATTATACAAAATTTATGTATAAAATATCTATTGTTATGTTGCCACAGACACTCCCCCCCAAAAATTTTGTTTATTATTCCCCAAAATTATGTCGATCTGTACAGGATTTATATATGTATTATTTTTATTTCAGTTCCTCCTGAAATACCAGCGGTTCTCGATCGGTGGGGACGACAATTGAATGGAACCCAATTGGGTCCTCACGAGGAAGGAGATGACGTCATGTTGACTTGCAGAGTAGTCGGAGGTAAATAATTTTTTTTTTCTAAAATATCCTTAAAATATCCTAAAAATTATCTTGGGGATTATCTCCTTGTATATTAAAATTATTCTAATCACATTCTGTATAAATAGTAATCATGAGGGCCCCAGCTCTCGCACTATTGAATACATCAAAATCATTATTCATTTATTAAAATGAAAATTTTTGCATTTCTCGACGTTTTGAAGGTTTCTGAACATTTTTAAGGAGCATACCTCAGAAACTAAATGAATGTGTGTGTATGTGTGTGTGTGGATACAATCTTTCCTCCAATTTTTCACGGGCCATTCCTAACAGATTTGAATGATTCATTTACCATTCGATTCCTAATGGTAGGGAGATGTGCAGATTAGTTTTTGGCAAAAGCAGGTCCAGCCGTTACGGAGATACGGAGCAAAGAGTGCAGAAAATAGAAATCGAGTTTTTGAGAGAATTCTCATACTTTTAATTTAAACTTGCTCGTCAGTAGAGTCCCTTTTTTGTTTTAATATTTTTTATTTCAGTTTATTCGTCAGCAGAGTCCTTTTATATTTTCATATTTTTTAAATTTTTTCGTCAGTAGAGTCTTTTTTTAATTTCAAATTGCTATTTGATTTACTCATTAGTAGAGTCTGTTTTTATATTTTAGGTTTTTTCCCAAATTGCTCGTCAGTAGAGTCCTTTTTTTCGTCTCATAGTTTTAATTTAAGTTTGCTCGTCAGTAGAGTCCTTTTTCGTGTCTTTTAAAAAAACAATTTGCTTGTCAGTAGTGTCCTTTTATTCCCCTCATACTTTTAATTTAAGTTTGCTCGTCAGTAGAGTCCCTTTTTATTTTCATTTCAGATAAAATGTAGTTGATGATGAAAAATACTAAATACAAAAATTCAAAAAATTACCCAGGCTAAGCACAGTCTAAGAGCCACTCTGGTACAAATGTTTACCCAAGTGCGATTAGACTGTTTATGTATTGGAACACTTTTTCAATTTTGTGAAAACTATTGAAAAATGTGAAAATGCTCCCGAACTAAGCACAGTATAAGTGAAAATGTCGCACAGAATTATTTGCAAATGCGTTTAGACTGTGACTATACGGGAGCACTTTTTCAATTTTGATAATATTGAAAATTATAATTTTTGATTTATTTTTTAGATCATTTTTTAATTTGCTCGTCAGTAGAGTCTTATTTTTTTATATTGCTAATAAATTTGTTAATCAGTATAGTCCTTTTTTTTATTTTGCTGATTTTTTTTATTAATTTGCTCGTCAATAAAGTCTCTTTTGTATATTCAAGATTGTTTAATAATTTGCTCGTCAGTAGTGTCCCTTTTTTATTTTCTTCTAGATTATTTAATAATTTGCTCGTCAGTAAAGTCTCTTTTTTATATTCAAGATTATGTAATAATTAGCTCGTCGGTGAAGTCCCTTTTTCAATTTCTGGGTTAAATAATAATTGGCTCGTCAGTAGAGTCCCTTTTTTAACTTCCCGTAGGGTAAGTTATAGTAATCGTCCAAAAATCGAAATCAAAAATTTTTACATTTCTCGACGTTTTGAAGGTTTCTGAACATTTTGGCATACCTCAGAAAAAATGGATGTGTGTGTGTGTGTGTGTTTTGTATGTCCGCGTTTTTTCGTCCACGTTTTCGGGCGCACGGATCAACCGATTTGAATGGTTTAAAAAACATTCGATTCCTATTGATAGGGAGATGTGCTGATTAGTTTTTGGCAAAGGTAGGTCCAGCCGTTACGGAGATATGGAGCAAAGAGTGCAAAAAATAGAAAGCGAATTTTTGAGAGAACGGATCAACCGATTTGAATGGTTTAAAAAACATTAGATTCCTATTGATAGGGAGATGTGCTGATTAGTTTTTGGCAAAGGTAGGCCCAGAGGTTTCGGAGTTACAGAGCTAAATTTAAAAAAAATGGCTGTTTTTGAGAGAACTAAGCGTCCGATTTAAATGATTCAAAAAACTTTCTGCTTTTTTCAACAAAACAATTGATTTTGGAAAAAAAAATTTTTTGTTTCTAATTTTTTTCAAAAATTTTTTTTTGTAATTTTGGACTAAAAATTCAAAAAATCACCCAAGCTAAGCACAGTCTAAGCGCCACTCTGGTAGAAATGTTTACGCAAGTGCGTTTAGACTGTTTGTGTACTGGAGCACTTTTCCAATTTTGTGAAAATTATTGAAAAATGTGAAAATGCCGCCAAACTGAGCACAGTATAAGTGAAAATGTCGCACAGAATTATTTGCAAATGCGTTTAGACTGTGACTATGCGGGAGCACTTTTTCAATTTTGTGTAAATTTGGCAACTATTTTTTTTTTGGAATTTGATTCGAAATGAAATGACGATTGTTAATGTTCTGGAGATCATAAACTGATTTATTTATAATTAACTTTCCATAGGGTAAGTAATCGCAAAAAAATCGAAAATGAAAATTTTTATATATCTTCACGTTTCAGAGGTTTCTGAATATGTTGGCATACCTTGGAGAAAATTGATGTATGTGTGTGTGTGTGTGCGTGCATGTGTGTGTGTTCGGATACAAATTTTCGTCGACGATTTCGGGAACACGGATGAAGCAATTTGAATAATTCAAAAAACATTCTAGCCGTTCCGGAGATACGGGGCAAAAAGTGCCAAAAACGGTAACTCAGTTTTTAAGAGAACGGAGCGTCCGATTTGTATAGTTCAAAAAACATTTTACTTGTATTAACAAGATGAAGATTTGATCAAATTTTCATGAAGATAGGTCTAGCGGTTTCGGAGATCTAGTAAAAAAAACTAAAAAAAAATAACATTTGGCGGTCAACAATAATCATTAGACATTAGACATATGCATATCAAATTATCAGATATTTTATTGAGATTTTAACAATAAGTTTAAGTTTTGTTTACATTCCTATGGGTTCCGTACCATTGTTTTTCTGTTAGACAGCGACGCGGCGCTTACGCGCTTTATATTTTGTCTCTATGCAGTTAAAGCAGTACGATTGCTTTGAAAAAAAGTTCAGATCTTCCAAAATATATCAAAATGAAGATAACATTTTTTCCAAAAAAAAATTTTTATAAAAAAAATTGTTTAAATTTTTTTTTTTTAAAAAAAATTTTATTTTCAAAAAAAGTAATTTTTTGTCCAATTTAAAATTTCTAAAAAATCTTATTTTTTCGAAGTAAAATTTTTTCAAAAATGTTAATCGTTTTTAAAAAAATAATAATTTTTGGTACGGGAAGTTCCAGCAATTTGCCTCAAGGCACGATGCCTTAATTGCCTTAAGACAGAATTCCACTTACAGCTAGTTATATTCTACTTTTGTGTAAATTAGGCAACTATTTTTTTTGAAATTGAATTCGAAATGAAATGACGAATGTTAATGTTCTGGAAATAAATTGATTTATTTATGATTTACATTTGATTTGCTCAGATATAACAAAGTAGCAAAAATAATTAACCTTACAGTATTTGTTATTAACGTTTAAATTTTTTCGAATATTTCATTACGGTACGGGAAGTTCCAGCAATTTGCCTTAAGGCACGATGCCATAAACCACTAGTTATTTATAAAATTACCATCGGCGTACTAGCTGCCCTACTATTAAAATTATCATAATCACGTTTCATTTTCTAGTTAGTCGATTTGTGATGTAATTTTCTCGAAAAGAAAAAACTATAACTACAACTATAATAAATAAAATTATAATTCGTGTAATTTCTGTTCGCGTGTCGTTTTCCATTTATTCGCAGAAATCAGCAAAAACCCGTACTTGCAATTTTCTTATCGACGATTTGGAAAAATTAACTTGCAAATGGAAATAATTGCTAAGGAAATAGTTATAAATAATTGGGTGAAGGAAAATTGATTTAGGAAAAAAAATATTCTTAAAGTAAATTTCTTTAGGCGCGACTAAGGTGTAAATTCGTACAAATGCAACGAAAGTGCGTTACGGCCAAGTCGTCATTCGCTCTCGATAATATCATTTCTATACAGGTCGATTGTGATTAGTCATCGTGTATGTAAATAGAGATCTGTCGTTGTATGCGTACCGATATCAACAAAAAAATCGGCATAGATAAATAAACATTTCAAAGTCACATCGTAGTACAAATCTTGATTTAATGAGAAATGCCCGAATCAGAACAATATTTTACCCTGTTCCTTGAAAATAAAACACATTAAACATTTGTGCCGTGTACTAAACGTAAGTTTATTATTGATTAGAAATTATTTCTATATTATTCGTAAATAAAAAGGGACTCTACTGACGACCAAACTAAAAATGAAAAAGGGAGGGGGACTCTACTGACGAGAGAAATAAAAATAAAATTCATAGAGACTCTAGTGATGATTAAATTGAATTTAAGGTTAAAAGGACTATACTGACGAGCATATAAAAAGAAAATTAAAAAGGGACTCTACTGACGACCAAATTAAAAATGAAAAAAGAAGGAGGACTCTACTAACAAGAAAAATAAAAATAAAATTCAAAGTGACTCTACTTAAGATTAAATTAAAATTAAATGTAAAAGGGCCTTTACTGCCGAGCATACTGAAAGAGACTCTACTGACAATCAAACTAAAAATTAAAAAAATACACTCTACTGATAAATTAAAAATTAAAGAAAAAGGGACTCTACTGACGACCAAACTAAAATTGAAAAAAGTAGGGGGACTCTACTGACAAGCAAACTAAAATAAAAACTATTAAATTAAAAATTAAAGAAAAATGGACTCTACTGATAATTGAATTAAAAATGGAAGAAAAGAGGGCTCTACTGACGAGCAATATAAAAATAACATTAAAAAGGAACTCTACTGATGATTCAATTAAAATTAAAGATAAATAAACTCTACTGATGAATTAAAAATGGAAGAAAATGGGACTCTAAAAGCAGTCAATAAATACAAGCAGTCAATGAATGTATGTTAATTTTAATCACATGAAGTTCTTCAAACACAATTATTACACGATGATTGAAGTTGCGAATAAAATATTTAACATAATCC